GGCTAGCGGAAGTTGAAGAACACTGTGAGGTGCAGCGACTCTCTGTTTAACAATCCCCTTTAATCTTTTTTTCCAAGAGGCACGCAACACCACAAGACAAATTAAAAACTCAGACTGCCACATCTTGAAGCACATTCCACTTAGTTTCTTAGATCGCAGCCCAGTCAGAATCGCATCCAAACACCTTTACGCAGCTTATCGCCAATTCTGTACCTGGCACATCTTGAAGGTTGGAGGGCTACTGACAGGTCTCTTTATATTTCAGCAATATTGAAACGTGAAGCCTGTATATCTATGTAAGGTAGCATCAATAAGTAAAGAAACAGAATACTGAAAATAAGCCATCACACTGGTCTTGTGACTGAGACTAAAAATGGAAGCATCTGAAGCATCACTAACATACACTTAATTTTTTAATCTAAATATTTAAGGCCTTGACGACTCATTGAAAAATGAAATGTCAGAGAATTAAAGAACAATGTCAAATATATCTTTTAAATTCCTCATTAAGTCTCCCCAGTCATATTTCAAAAGATTCTAAATATTTATGACTTTCTAAACTAATGCACATGAATTAATCGTTCGATACAGAACTATTTCCACATGTTGCTTTGGTAGTGCAGTGACAGATAAAAGATGATGTTAACAGAAGTTTCATTTCATCCATGAATGAGTTAATAAAGGAGGAATGCAGATATCTAATTGCACAATTCGCAGTAATTTCTGAAGGCGGGTGTGGGGGAAAACATAAGATGGAAAACCTCCAGAGAAAAATGCAACCAACTGACATACTTCGGTGTAGACAACGAACGGGTGTAAACCCCATCTCTCTCTCTCAGCAAATAGGATCCGGCCGATTTCTGTGCCAGGAATTTCCTGCAACTATCTCATGTGCAACGCAGGCTCCTGCTCCACAGTATTTTTCTGTGGAATGCCTCCTGGTTGCCTAAGCAAGGCTTGCTAAAGTGTGAGAACTTCTGGACAGCCTCCCACTGACCGGAGGGTGAGGCTGAGAGCTGCCAACGGGCGCAGCTCATGGGTTTGAGGGACAAGCACCAACTGGACACCACCATCGCCAGTGTCAGCTCACATCTTGTGTAAACCTGGCTCCACTCAAATCAAATAGCGTTGGCAGTTTGAAAACAGAAACAACAGCAAGGGGTGGGATAAAAACATCTATGCATGGTTCAAATATTCTGGTTACGGTGGACCAGAGTGGGGTCTAGCAAGGCTTGGGGGTTTACATAGAAAAGGAACTGGATGAAGCAGGGCAATGGTCTGCACAAAAAGCCTGGCCAGAAGCACGCAGTGAAGAACCCGCTGCAGACCTGGAAGAGATATACCGGAGGACGTGTTCCTCTGAAATTATCTAAACTTAGAGAAATTAAAAAAAAAACCAAACGTATCACAAAAGACAAGTTTTCTAGCCATCTGAAATGAAACAATGCACCAAGCAGGTATATATGCTATGCAAGCCTACACGCAACTAAACTCATATCATCACCCTCTAGGAGCTCCTAAGAAAACTCTGTTTTCATCCATCTTTAAAAAAAAAAAAATTTCCTTTTCAATTAGACATGAATGCGTTTATACAGCTTTCACCAGCACAGTCTTCAGCTGGTGCTGCATCAAGGTGCCTCCCCCCTCCCAATTTATTCAATTTAACCATCCTAGTGGCTAAAGCGATGATTTTATCATATAAATTACATTATAACATCCACTGAGACACCCCAGAGAATTGGGGCACTCGATATTCACTTTGCCTAAAACAGCCCTTTACTGCTGTGACCAGCAGCGATGCTTCTCAGATGGTAAGATCGGTGAAGAAAAGAGGTAACATGGAGCTCATGCTGCCAGAATTACACTACTTCCCCCCCACTGAAGTGATTGAGGTACAGTGTCTGCTGTGCTGTGAAAGAGAAAATACAAAAAGTAAAGATAAATAAATCTTTTTGAAGAGAGGTTTAACTTCAGCTCCAGCACAGGCTCCATCAGATGCTGATGATTAGCAGATGGTTGATAGATGCATTGTCTGTTTTTTTTCCCCCAGAAGTTTTAATACTGTTCCTTAAATTCAGAGATGTGACATGAAGATCCGCACGTGGCAGATGCCCACAAACAGACCACTGAAGTTAAAGAATCTTTTACTGCGCTTTGGTGAGTTTACTCCGCAAGATTTTTTTTTTTCCATTTATGATTCAGACATACTGCCAATAGATCCATCTCCAGAAAGTGGTAATAATTTCAGCTGCCTTTCTACAAGGAAATAAATAGCTCAAGTGACAATGATGAAGGAAAACAAGTACAATGAGAAAGAGTGAACACTGGCTGTGCTTAATCTAACGGAAATTTTGGGAAAGGCTTAAAGTACAGTTAGATTAATTCCAGGAGAGCCTTCAAGATTTATAAAATAAACCACAAGTTGATTAGACATAGCTGAGCTTAAGGAAAATGGAATCCAAATGCTCACTAGCCCAATAGAATATTGTTGTCTCTTGATTTCTGCCTTTTACTGTCATCACGTACCCTGCTCCTTCAGTACCGTCACGAGTGACAACTGGGAGGTGGTCAGATAAGGAAACACAATTACTATAGCTGAATTAATCTTTATTTCCTAATATGTACTTTTCTGAAGAATAAGTATTTCAGAAGTCAATTGCGAATGAATACAGCATGGAATATTACCAGAGGTTTCCTTTAAACAGGAAAAATAAGGAACAAGTGAAAACTACTTTGCTGGAAATTCTACCGTATGATCTGAACGCACTTTAGGTCAAGCATTTCTATTCATTTCTGGCTTTCTGGCAGCAGCTCTCTCTTTGGCCCCAAAGTATAGCTGTATCCTAAAGATATGAATACTTTTTTTTTTTTTTTTTTTTAAACCAAATACAAATTGATTCACATTTCCCGAGGACCCAATTCCCAGCTCAAGCCTGGTGAGCACTAGCAATTCATGGAATGTAATGGCTGGTGACATCGAGGGGGTCAGACTGATCTTGTGGTCTCTTCTGACCTTAAACTCAAGGACTCTATTACACACTTGTCCAGCTAATCTCTTTGGAAGTGAACTCTATTTCCATTTTAATGTGGAACTGTAGGACATACACATGTGACTGGAAGTTGGAAGGTAGGAAAAGAACACACTCGATAATAAAAAGCAGCTGCATGAAGAAAGATTTAAAGTAACAGTGCACACACTTAAAATAGTGTGCTAGTCAACACCTTTAGAAAATCAGTCAAGAAAAAAAAAAAAAATGGAGTGTTTCAGGACAGCAAAACTTTCTAGGGTTAACTGTGCTTCCGTCCAGAGAGCGAGCACAAGGAAGGCGCAGGCAACACACCGTATGGCGCATATAGCTACAGTACTGTAGCGTGACGGGTCGGATCTGCACATCCTGATACAGCTACAAGGAGCACACATTACAGTGCTGGAGCACTGAAATCAATTAACCCTCTCTGGCTCTTTTCCAGCCAAACCCCCACCCATTTACTTCCCTGCTTTTCAAGCACTGGAGCTGGATACACTGGAAGGAGTCAATGAACAAACGAGGGTAGCGGCAGACCGCGAGCTTTGCTAACGAACAAAGAGAAAACTGCATACAGGCTCTGCTAATCACTTCAGTAAAATCATCAAAAGAATGGAAGAGAAAGGACAGCAAAAAAAGAACACCATCTCATTTCTATCCTTTTTAAAACGTGACAAGAATTATTCTTCTCTATTCAAGACTCGGAGAAAATACCTGGGTAAGAAACGTAGTTTTCCCAAAATAGAAATTCTTGGTGTTAGAAGAAACATGTGTGCTAAAGAAAAGCACACAAAGAGACAAGCTTTAGAAAAATTATAAAACCCAATATCAAATGAAGAACTTGTTTTCCAGAAAGCAGTGAAAAATCTTATCTTAAAGTCCAGCATGTGACGAAAAAGAAAATCACGAAGGATCTTCCTGGATGCAAAGTGAACTCTACTAAAACGCAAGAGAAAGAGGTAAGGCTTTCTTCACCTGAAAACTGCAACATGTCAAATCTTCTCAGTAACTGAGCATTTGCTCAGCTTAACGTGGTGACAGCTGCTTTGGTCTCTGCTTGTAGGGGGAAATACAAGCGTTAAGTCTTCAGCCGAGTTGAGAGAGACAGAGAGAGAAAGAGAGGGGGAGAGAAAAGGCTGTGCTTAATAAAAACCCTGCTCAGATTACAAATACAAGCGGTTTACCCACCCCCCCCCTTCCAAGTAATGGGTAAATTTAGAGGTCTCAGATCCATAAATCTTTACGGTCCCCTTGAGACTGTCACCAGTAGTTTATTGTCTTACAGCTTCCTGCCCCTCACCTGATAAATTAGGAACTGTAGACATTAAAACGGAAACCTCATACATCATTTCTGAAGATATTTTTGGGGTGACCCTCTGTGGAGAAATAGGATTCTTAATAAGGGGAAATATGGGAACTGCCGTCTGCCTACGCACACACTGCTGGAGACTAGACACTTGGGAGAGGAGGAGTTGCATACACACAATGCGAGCATCTGCCTCTGCATCAGTTTGTACTGGCAAAGAGCAACTCTACGCACACTCTATCTAAAGGGACCCATTTGGCATTCCAATTCATCTGTCACCTTTTACTGCTGTAGGAAGAAAATAAGTAAATGGAGGCTAATGCACTGCTTGCTTTCCACAGCTCCTGAATTGTCTCCTATAACCTTCTGAAACCTGACCCTCGCTACAAAGGGGAGACCACACCACCGAACCCCACCAACCAGAGATGGACACAAGACGGGACTTTCATTTTTAAGTCCGAATTGCGCCCAGCAAGACACGGCATAAAAATCTGGATACCAGCTCGGTCATGGTTACGGTATCTCAGAATAGCAGATGACCGGTTTGCTGTACTGACCATGCTGGCCTTTCTTCAGGACCATCCTGGACCAGAGAGGAACAGAGAACTCTTACACCGTACACAATTCCTGCGCAAAATACAGCTCCTGAGTACGTTCTGCTGGACACGATGTCCCGTCCTTTACATTTCTTGAATGGCTCTGGAGTTGGCAATGGGTCTTTGCCGCCTCTCTCAGTAACAGGAGAGCCCAAGGAGGACTACCCGAGTGACGAACAGGGAAACAAAGTGCGCTGGGCAGCTTTACTGATCCTCCTGGTGATAATCCCCACCATTGGGGGGAACATACTCGTCATACTGGCCGTGTCTCTGGAGAAAAAGCTGCAATATGCTACCAACTACTTTTTGACGTCCTTGGCAGTGGCAGATTTGCTCGTGGGTCTGTTTGTGATGCCGATTGCCCTCCTCATAATACTGTTTGGTAAGTACAGCGCGACTTTCATCAGGCTAGCCTATGGGGTTCAATTTGGGGAGGTCTAAGTTAAACAGAAAAACTGTTTGCTTACCACCATTACAATTTTAAAAATCACTTGGATGAGGGCTGCTAAATCTTTTCTCCCTCTCGCCTTTGTATAGCTTCGTATCTTTATGGGAAGTATCCCCACTGTGGATATTCTTGCCTTAGAAATAAACCATTCAAAAATCACCGAGACTTAGAACTGATACTAAATTGGAGCTGGACATGGGAAACTACGTTCTGTACAGTGTAATATTTTTAACAACAGCAGCACAATGTTGGTATCTGTTCTACTGGATATTACATTAATTGCAGGCAGTCTTCTCTTAAAAAAAGCATGAAATGTAAACTAGGTATCTGTTGAAAGCACTGAACAGGATTTGAACTTTCTAGAACTCAAGCAGCTGGTTTTACCTCAGTATTGACTCTGAGCTCCACGAGCAGTCAGAGATGGTACCCGGCACCAACAGTGACAACAAACTTTACCAGTACCAGTTTCAGAAAAATCAATTTTATCCCACTCTGGGGAAAGCAGCAGGTTTGTAAAGCGTCCCAAAGAATTAACTCATCTGTCGAGCCAAGGGAGCCTCAATCCATATACTTAATGTTTGAGATTTATCATTTAGTCTGGTGCATATGGAATAAGATAGGTATTTTCACATGAACATACAATGCTTTCTGGTTAGTCATTACAGAACAAGCATGACTTTTTCATATTCTCTCATGTCCAGCTTAATTCAGATATTACTTTTGACAACTAAGCAGAGGCAGCTCCATGGGAAAGTCTTTTTTACTCCCAAAGTTTCTTAAAAAAGACATTTTAAATGGTCTATTTTCATATCATACAAAGGGAAAACAAAAAAATCAGATGTGTTTTTCAATAAACTTACAGGTTTACACAATTACCTTTAATGTACAGATACCACTGGATCCTAGATAATGAAAGGCTGCAGGAGTTCATTTTTCCTATGCTAAATCTCCAAGAGTTGCCTGAGCAACAAACACACACAATCATAAACTTTATTTCAGAGAGGCCATCAGTAGCTTTTGGTTGCTGCAGAAGACTAGTTTCACTTTATTAACAAATGTGTTTATTCTCTAAATGCCTCGAGACCAAATTTCTGTATGTTACAGACTGCTTCTCCCTCAACAGAGGTATGAACTGGAGATCAGAATTCAGCACTGAGATCATAAAATAGTCTTTTTTCAAGCAACAGTTTCTAAGAAGTAAAATGAACGTACACGACCAGGACAGTGATTTCTAACTTGAAAAACACACAGTCACTTATAAAAACCCTTAGCATATCATGTATCTGCACATATGTGTGTACAGGCAAGAAAGAGATGCATATACATATTTACACACAGATACTATAACTGCTTAGTTCCTGCCAAAGCCTCATTAATAATAAAAATAAAGCTACTGACCATAAAAAGTACCAGTATTGGACTAGCAGGCAATACAAAGGGAAGGCAAGTTCTGGATTTTACGGAGTTACTTTTGGTGGTGATGGAGTGGGGTTTTTTCGGTTTGGATTTTCTTTATTATTTTCATTTTTGTAGACTAATAAATCTTTTCTTTTTAACTTTATAAAGAGACTATTGCTCCTTAATCTCTCAATTAATCCAGCACTAAACCTTGGTTACAACAGTTTAAAGCACGCTAGGAATCTCAATTTAAAAGTCAAACAAAAACATCTTTCACACTGGAGGAAATTTACAAGAAAGTAGCAAAATTAGTTTAATTAATTAAGACTGCAGCCAAGCTTTCACAGAGCAACAGTTAAACCTGAAATTTCTTGCATACTAGTCTCTCTGACAGCCAACCAGAAAAATTGCTTTGCCTCTTCCCCGACTGGTAGAAGATGCTGAGGTGTTTACAGAAGTTCAAAGCACGAGAAAAGCATGAGGAGTTACTGGAATGAAACTCAGACATTTCAATACAGAACAAGTCTACATCTAAGCTACATTAGTCAGATAACTGTGATAGCTAGACAGCCAATTAAATCCAGCCTCCTGGCGCTTCCACGCAGGAGTGTTTCCATAATAATGAAATAGCTGGGTGCAGCTTCTAGATGCAGAATACAAATACTATTCTTCCGATTTGGGACTGGTATCTAATTATGTGGAGAGTATTTGAGGGAAAAGCTGTGAACTAAAGTACAGTCACATTAAACCATCCTGACTGTAAAAACTAACGTGTCACAGAGCGTTCAAATTCCAAACCTACTACAGATATTGGCTCCTTGCCCTGGTGGTGCGCTTACAGAAAAATCTTCAGAAATAAGCTCTCTCTGTAATAAAAAGATGCCTCTTTTAAAAATAAACACATAAATAAATCTCCAACTCACTCCCAGGTATAATACCATGAGCAGCAGATTATTTATTCTCAGAAGAGCGGCCAAAACATACTCTGGTACCAACATACACCACAGTTCTAATTTAGAAGTGCGAGTGTCAGAATATACACACAGTTCATTCCTTTTACTGCTTGCTGAATTCCTCTCACATCTTCCAGAAAAAGGAGGGTGTGTTAGGAAATAATTGCACTCTCTGAAATCTAGCTTTCAAAAGAGTTATCCCAATTTCTAACACTCAGAACTACTGAAGGAAAGTAAAATTGTTGCTATTCATTGGGTAGTGAAATCAGCAAATAAACTTGAGAGAACCTCCCATTTGCCAAACCTGCAGTAGAAGTAAGTCTCTTGCCCATCCATGACTTGTTGGGCCATGCCTTACCTGGAGACAGTGCATGTACCATCTTTCAAAATATAGTTTCTATCCCTGATATTAATCCACTTAAAAATCAGAAGGTAATGCTGATTGTCCTCGGGTGCAAGTCACCTCTCCTATGATGAAAGACTGAGAGAGTTGGGCTTGTTCAGCCTGGAGAAGAGAAGGCTCCGGGGAGACCTTACTGCAGCCTTCCAGTGCCTGAAGGGGCTATAAGGAAGCTGGGGGGGACTTTTTACAAGGGCCTGTAGTGACAGGACAAGGGGTAATGGGTTTAAATTGAAAGTGGGGACGTTTAGATTAGGTATCAGGAAGAAGTTCTTCCTGGAGAGGGTGGTGAGGCACTGGAACAGGTGGCCCAGAGAAGCTGTGGATGCCCCATCCCTGGAAGTGTCCAAGGCCAGGCTGGATGAGGCTTTGAGCAACCTGGTCTAGTGGAAGGTGTCCCTGCCCATGGCAGGGGGGTTGGAACTGGATGATCTTTAAGGTCCCTTCCAACCCAAACCAGTCTGTGATTCTATGATTATTTTAAAAATCTATCAGAAGCAATCACCTTCAATCTTCCCCCATTACTGATGATGAACCACAGCAAATCTTCCCTTCTCACTTGCGGAAACTACCAGAGAAAACTGCTTTAATTGAGGGCTGCTTTCCAAAGTCTCAAATCTAACAATAAGTAAGAAAACAAAGGTTTATTCCTCACAAAGCAACTCTAATTAAAAAAATATTACTTTGGCTAAATTGAGAAAACTACATGGCAGTGAACAACTACTGCTGAAACCATAACTGTAGCAGAGGAATAAAGGCAGGTAGCCACGGCGTGAGACAGCAAGACAGCAGCCTGGAAACGCCAGGCCTGTGCCGTCCACAAAGCCAGACACGGGGCTGAACACCACCCACGCAGCCTGCAGACACTTGCACACCCATTTGAAAACTGAAGCCTAAGCTTAAGGCAGCCAGTGATTAAAAATATCCAATTTCCATTTCAGTAAAAGCATCGTTACCTAACAGCAACAAGATCGTTTATAGGCAACACGTTTCAGCAGCCCTTACAGCAGAAGAACAAATGGTTTCCAAGTCTATTTCAAGATCTCTTCATCATGCTTATACATGTACACAGGCAGTGCTTTCTCCCAAGATTTCAAAAAACCTTTTGGCTTTTAGAAGAGCAGCTCTTCTGTAGTGTACTTTGTTTTAAGGATTACACATTTCCAAGTTATTTCCTATAAATAAAGCTTTTCTTAAATAAAGATTAATCAAGGGCAGACAGTTGTGTAAAAGCTCATCTTACTTTCCTTAAGGTGCAAGACAAATCTTTAAAATATGTATTTTATCTTGTACTGACTCAAAATAAGGAAAATAATCTGCAACAGCAGCACTGCTGGGGTGCTGGGAGGATCCAAAGCAAGGTTTGGAGGAAGGAGGAATATCTTTTTATCTCATACCACCTGACAGTCAGGGAGACCAAAGATGTTCCATGGATGTGGCTTTGAGCAACCTGGTCTAGTGGAAGGTGTCCCTGCCCACGGCAGGGGGGTTGGAACTAGATGGTCTTTAAGGTCCCTTCCAACCCTAACCATTCTATGATTCTATGTTCTCAGGTAGTCTCGGCCTTTAAAAAAACATTCAAAAACCCCAATCCCCAGCTTGTTTAAACCAGCATTTCAACTCTCAGGGAAAAAGAAGGTGAAGAATATCAGCCAGCCCAGTAAACGCTGTAGTCTGCTCCAACAGTGCGGAGCATCACAACTTGTCACAATCCCAACTAAGCGTGAGCTGCTAATGGCTTAGTATCACTGCTTGGCAGGGCATACTCCTTCTACCTTCAGTCTGAATTATAAAGACAAAACAAGCGGGTCACCATCATGTTAAATGGTCAGAGCTGCTTTCTGAGTCCTGACGGGAATTTCTCATGTCTCATCTTTTCCCTATTCCCAAACTAACAGAATAGGCTCACAGAAACACACACCACCACCACGAAAGCCCAGAGCAGTCCCCAAACACAAGGCACAGAGCTTCTAAGACATTTGCTTTTATGTACTTTGATTTGTTGGCTGCACAATACACCACAGCATGAAACCTAGACAACTACGTGACTCTGCTGGACTGACTTCAAGGCACCAGTTTCACATCTGCTTTGTTTAAATAATAACCATATTCTTCAATTCTTATCAGCTATTGCGTTTCAAGTCTACTCTGATTTTATCTGGATAAAACCCATCATCTCATACGTACAAATATAGTAGTACATAGTGCTAGAATCATGATTAACATGCTGCCTTCTGTATCCTGTTCAAAACAAGACTAAAATAAAGGCAAAGCTCGCTCTGTTCAGTTGCACTTACCAACTAACGAAAGCTCTTACAACTCCAAAACATACAAGGTTGCTTTGCATCAGATAACTGTTTAAATGCATCTAAATTTAAAAGAAGGAAAATAGCTTTTTGTTGCAAACTATTTGAGGGTTTTCTTCTGCAAGGAGTAAATTAATTACAAAAGGAAACAATTTATCACACTGCAGAAAGCAAAGCAGTTATAATCAAGGGAGGGGCACGGAAGTACTCTCCAACATAAGCATTAGCTGCTCACTCGAAATCCAGCTGTGTTATCTGCCATCCTTCAAGATGTGGAATACACTTTCCATTGTTCACAGGTCATCTCACCTAATCCTTCATCACACAGTCAAAAGAAGTGGTCTTATTTTTCTGGAGTGAGCAAAAACATTTAAAGCCCATAAAATCAACTATTTCTTTTAACTGTATTTTTTTTTCCTTGCCTATTTCCTTTTTATAGCTGGCTACATGAGCCACAAGCCATTTTGGTTTTCCTTTTTTTCTTCAGATCGGCACCATACCTTACTGCCAGCTGAAAGCGTAGATCGAAAAGTTAAATATGAGTAAGCGTTTCATAATATGCTAATTACAACCTTCTCATACCTGCCTGACAATAGTTTTCTGAAGCAAAATTTCAACCCTAACAACTGTTCTATGCAGCTAGATACTAAAATTTTCTGGTTAACGATTTGAAAATAGACCACCACTTTCCCTTCTGCCTCACTGCCTACATCCTCCTCACCTGCAGTCCAGTGCTTTGGGGATGGGTGAAGCTCCCTTCAGGGCTCCATCCATCCGTCGTTTAGCAGGCAAGATTTCCCAGCACAGGTGAGAGTGCAGCCAAGGACGTGCTGTATGACTTCATAAAATTTTCCATACTCTGGAGTTCATAATGCAAGTCAAGGCAGCACCATTATCATTTCCATCCATTAGTCACATTATGAAAAAAGTGGTTTAATCTCAAACTACTGCAACATTACCACGCTGGAAAGACTGGGCATTACAACAGACCTGCTCATTTGGCATTCTCAGCACGCAGATCTGTTTATTCTCAGCAAGGACATTAAAAACAACCTGATTTGTTAGAAATGCCTTTTTTTCTTCTCCTTAATCTTCATTCAATGAAGAACAGATTTCTCTGGCAATATTATTAACATGCCTACTGACTGAATACAGCTGAATTTTAGAAGGAAGGAGAATATATTCAATAGATCAACTCCTACCATTAGAAACAGAAAAAACTTCTGTGTTCACACATTCTTCCCTAGGGCTAGTGTTGTGTGTCTGTTCTTACACACACACAACGCTAAGGTGCGTCTCAAGCTGGACGCTGCTAGCGCTGGATTGCAACTACCCGTGAGCGAGAACAAAGCAGTTCAGAAAAACAATCAGATTTCATTAAAGTTCATTTGGTTTGGTACTGTTAACATTGACAGGGCAGACCCAGCTCTCAAAAATACAAGCCTTTTGGGAAGTTGAACACTACAAAACCTTATCTTGGACACAATGCAGTTGGCATACCCTGTGTTCACTATGAAGATTAAAGACAGGTAACTACTGTAAGAAACAGGATGCCAGACTTAAAATCCAAACCATTGCTCTTGGGAGGGGGGGGGGGGAGGGGAAAGGACAGACATGCATGAAAGCCCTTCAATTTTTAGGAAATCCTTACTGAGACAGAAGAGTCCTGCTATGCCACATTAGTGCTCAACTGTATCTCGTCAAGTCACACATCAAACTCATTTTAAAACTGTGTGAACTAGATTCTACAAGATCACCATTAAGATTCAACCGTGGTTCTGCAATGATTCACTGCTACATTGGTTATGACCCATGATCTCCTCCACTTAATACCACCTTGAATCATAGGACTATCAGGAAGATGTAGCTGAAAATACTCATTTAACAAGATGCACAGACAAAGCACAGTCTGGCTCATTTTTTAAAAAAAATTTATCCAGAGTCCTCGCCACAAAAAATTTACATGATCTAAAAAGGACAAAAGACAGGGAAAGGCTTATAGTACACAACCAACCTGATCAATGTGATGGCAGAAACCACACCAGTTAACAGCCAAGTAAAATGTAAGACAGAGTCTTAGCACTGAGGCAGTGGCAAAGCTCAGTTCCTGTAGTACTATGAACTTCTCAAAGGTACTGATACCGAGGGAAAACTACACTGAAAACCCTCAGAAAGTTTAGATTCTAATGAGTTTTCTGTTCTCTTTCAGACAATGCCTGGCCTTTTCCAACTGCCTTGTGTCCCATCTGGCTGTTCCTTGACGTCCTGTTTTCCACAGCTTCCATCATGCACCTCTGTGCCATCTCACTAGACCGCTATATTGCGATTAAAAAGCCAATCCAGGCTAGTCAGTACAATTCATGGGCTACAACAATCGTCAAAATCATCGTGGTTTGGCTCATTTCAATAGGTATGTGAGACTCAGACTGGAAAATGAATGCAGCTTTTCATGTCCAAAACAATAGGTGAAAGCCAGGCAAAAAGGAAAATTTGGCCAAATAGTACTGATTAGCAGACCCTAATACCTGGGTTGGCCTGAGTCCACCTCTTGGGCCATACGTAATTACATCATAAAAATCTGTCTGAACCGAAAACTGCTCCTTACCAGGCTTACCAGAAAGGGCAAGGGTTGAGTAGGGATAATAACTCTTCTCCACTATCCTAGAAATCCAAAAATCAGAGGACAGTATCTGCATGCATAGCATCTTCTCAGGAAAGCAAGATTTCACTGTCCTGTGGCAGTATATTCTGTCTCAAAGACAATTTTAAGCCTTGAGTAGATGCTGCTAAAATCTGTTCCCTGCAAACAAGTAAAAAATGGTTAATTACTTATAAAGATTGAAAGATGAGTGGCTGGTAACATTCACACTGAAGACTGAGATGCACTGGCTGTATAGCATATGGAAAGGCTAACTTCTACGCAAAAAAAAAAAAAAAAAAGGCAACCAAAAACTCCAAAAAGCCCAAATCCTGAGCAGTTTACATCAAGGATGCCAATGTATAAACTTTTATGATCTTAGCACCTCTGTGATGTGCAAGTGGCACCTCACCTGCTTAAAAAAATAAATCTGTTAAATGAGATAAGGGCAAGTGT